TGACATGGATCTGTGAAGCGAGCAGTTTTGTTGTCCAGCGAGTGCTGCAATGAATGAATATTATGGGTTGAACAAAAACAAGTAAATGAGTGGAGTGTAATTGAATGCTATCCAAGGTTGCGTGGGTAACTCGTGCTGGTAGCTCGGAGATGGCCGAACCAATAGCGATCAGGCCAACCAGTGAGACTGTGATGTATCCGAGTTATGCGAAGTGGATTAAGTCTCACCGTGATCTACCGCTTCGGCTCAATCAATGGTGCAACGTTGTGGTGAGTGATACAAACTTTTGTGTTCTCATTCGTTTGTATTCACCAATATCATGTTTTGGTGGCCATTGGTCGACACATCTAAATTCTCCTCCAAATGTTTTATATTCTGTAATTATTGTGAAAGTGTCATGCACTCGATGTTTGCATCAATTGAGTTTTAATTTTGAATGAACCAGTGAACATTTCAATGGCACATTGCAAGGAGCTGATTATTCAGTGATCGATGCAGATCACTTACTTACAAGATGATGCAATTTCAGCGATGGGAATTCAAGCATCCAACGCCGTTCTTGCGAACTCGGGAATTCTTATGGCAAGAAGGTCACACAGCATTCCAAACGGCTGAAGAGGCCCAGCAAGAGGTCTATCAAATACTGGACTTGTACGCTAAAGTCTACACTGATTTGATGGCAATTCCGGTCGTGAAAGGCCGAAAATCGGAGAAGGAGAAGTTTGCGGGAGGCGAATTCACGACAACTGTTGAGGCATATGTACCTGTAAATGGGCGTGCGATTCAGGTTTGTTTTGATGTCGAGTTATCTTTTCGATTAAGTACCTGCACACATATTGGACAGAACCGTATTCTCTGTGCTGGTCCATTTTTCAGGATAATCCCAATTATTCCAGTTTTTTGATGCTAAAATTGAGCACATCATGTATTTCAGTTTTATCATTCACTTTCATTCTTATACAACTTAATCGAAGATACATTTTGCGGTGTTGTTGGGCTGTCTGTGCAATGGAATAAGAGTGCTGGAATGTGGTGATGAGATGGTGTTATGGTTGGTATATTTTAGGGCGCAACATCGCATCACCTCGGTCAGAATTTTTCGAAAATGTTCGACATATCGTTCGAAGATCCAGAGAATGGCTCAAAAGCGTACGCCTATCAGAACAGTTGGGGTATAACGACGAGAACGATCGGTGCTATGGTAATGATACATGGCGATAATTCTGGTCTTGTTCTGCCGCCTCGAATCGCTCCTGTTCAGGTGAGCATTCTTGCCTCTTACA